CATGCCAAAACATCTGAAATCCAGAAGATGCCCTCTTTCTTATTTTTCTTTACTGTGCCGAAAGAACTTGGAGAAATAAGATTGGCTTTATGGAAGCAGGGAGAGCTTTGGGAACATGAGACAGGGAAATACTGACTTAGTTAAGGAGGCAGAGAAGGTCTCCCTGAAGAGGTGATGTTTCAGCTGAGACTTGGAGGATGTGTGAAAATTAGATGAAGAGGGGGTGGGAGTGTGCTGTTGGAGGCACAGGGGAGTCTGTTAGGCAGGTGTGTCACTTAACCTCGCAGTCCTTTCCCCTGAAAATTAGCAGCACCGCTGTAATTTACCCCATCTTATTGACCTATTAAAGTGAGAAAGTGGAAGAGTGATTTGAAATGGTAAGACTGCTCTCTAGTATCTATCTATCTATTTATCTATCTATACACACCCTGCATACATAAAATAAGGCATGTATAGGTACATGCTAAGTCACTTCAGTTGTGTTCAACTATGACTCTATGGACTGCAGCCTGCCAGGCTCCTCTGTCCATGGGATTCTCCAGGTAAGAATACTGGAGTGGGTTGCCACGCCCTCCTCCAGGGGATCTTCCCAACCCAGGAATCAAACCTGCGTCTCTTACATCTACTTGCATTGGCAGGTGCGTTCTTTACCACTGGAGCTACCTGGGAAGCCCCCAAATAAGGCATATATATATAAATATATATATATATATATATATATATATATATATATATATGTAATAATTATGCATATGTACTATATAAGTGTAATAAATATGTATGTAACAAATCATTAATTGTTATTAATATTACATGAAAACAGTACAGCCTAGAAGAAAAAAGGATGGATTTGAATCCCAGATCCACCCATTACTAGATGAGTTCTGGACAATTCACTCAGCCTTTTCACACCTTGTTCCATCAATGAAAAAGTAGCGTAGTGATGCTTTGTCCTCAAGATGCTGGGAGGGCCCCTGAGATACTGAGTGTGTGGGAGATCTGGAGAAGTACTGGCCCTTGGTAGTAGCTTGTTCTCTTTCCTTTCCTTTCCTTTCTGCTCCTGCACCAGTGCTAGCTCACTATTCTACGAAGACATGTGTACAAGAACATGATGGTAACTTGCTGTGCTTTTCAGGGTTTCTTGTCAGCCGACTGAACAAAGACATTTGCAGTTTTATAAAGAAGCTATCTTTTCATCTGTGGTTCATGATGCTGTTCCTCCTGTATCTAAGTTGATGTTCTTATGATTGATTCCTTCAACTTTATCATTTTAAGACAACAGCAGGAGGAGATCAGGTACAAGCTAATCACTCCGGAATGCTACAGTGTGAGACTACTTCAGTCCTTGGTGTGCAAGGAGCTCCATAAGGGTGTATTGTGTGGAGCAAGGCTTCCCTGGTGGCTCTATGGTAAAGAACACACCTGTCAATTCAGGAGATATGGGTCTAATCCCTGGGCTGGGAAGATCCCCTAGAGAAGGAAATGGTAACCCACTCCAGTATTCTTGCCTGGGAAATCCCATGGACAGAGGAGCCTAGTACACTTCAGTCCATGGGGGTCACAAAAGAGTTGGACATGACTTAGACCTTAAACAATAACAGCAAATTTTAAAAATAGGTCTTGAGCAGGAAGGGGATCACCATTTTCTGTTTTGTTTGCCTTTGGCTTGTGTTTGTTCTTCCTGCAAAGGGGGAATTTAATGTAAATACAAGGACTCTTACCTTTTCTTACCAATAAGTGTCCTCCGCTCCCTTTTATTTGGGGGTGGATAAAGAGTTTCACATGAGCTTAAAAATGAGACCAAATGAAAAAGGTATTGTTTATCTAAGCTGTCTGAGGAAGGGCACTTGGGGAAAGAATTGAACTCTGAAATAACCTTATGAAAGTTATTGATTCGTTTCTTTATGGTTGCTTGACAAACAGGAACCATTATTTCTGTGTCCGAACTGGAGCTGGGTCAAAGAACCCTTATATATGGATTATCTTTTCTGAAAACCAGACTTGTCAGGAAAATGAACTTCCAGAAATGGAGACAGGAGGCCCAGTGGAATATTGCAGTCCTTTCATGGCACTCAAGGACAAATAGAGAGACAGTTTTTTAAAATCTTACTGAGTACAAGAAGAAATGTTTGAGAATAACACAAAGGTTTAGGTAAATGGCTCACTCTTAGGTATTTATTGGGTGCTTTTATTTAACTCCCCTCCCCCCATGCCAGTTCAGCTTCAAAATTCGGTTGCTGTATACCTATCATTTGTAGAGAAAAGGGTACCATATTTTTGTTTTTTTCTGTCTTATATTTTGAAATTAACTTTAAAAGATCACACAAGTTACATATATTTTGCTATTGAAATAACAAAAAGTATGGATAAGGATAAAGGAAAGAGACAAAAAATCACCAAGAATCCCTACCCAGGAATGACCATGCACAGAAATATATTTTAATTATAAAATATTACATTCTGCTTACATTATATTCTGCTTACTATTTTGTAACTTGAAAGCACAACTTCGGGGTTATTTTATTCCTCCTTTCTCATTTTTGGCCTAACAAGCCAAGGAGATTTAAAATGAGAAGAATAAATCAATAGTTAAAATAGGGTTATTATAACATTCAGATAAAAAAAATTATGTCAACAGTTGATAAACTATTATAGAATATCATAAATAATGTTTCCCCAGCAATTTGAGTACTCAGGAGGGATGTAGTCATTGTTTATTTTTAGCATTAAACAAATATTTAATAAATACTTAACCAAGTGAAATAGTTGTTGTTTCTTTGAAGCACCTTACTATCACTTCAACATGTCTGGGGGAGGAGGCACTGTATATCTGCAAGAACACTTTATTCACTTATTATTAGAAATATTAAAAGCCATTTAGGTTGCTTTTTAGGTTTGTCGTAATCTAATCCTTTAATCTACATTCTAGTGAAAAACTATTTTAAGACTATTTCTTTTGCAGAGTGTGTTAGATTGGAAGAGAGGATTATAAAGCGACAGATTGCAATGGTAACATGGAAAATCTGTAAAATTTACTTTACAGTGTTATTTCTTTGGACTTTATGGCTTTATCCAGTTTTAGTGATCGAGGAACTCTAGTATCCCTTTCTTCATAAAGCAATTTTATGGTACTATAGGAATTGATTCCTAAAGTTTTAGACCTGAAAAATATATGGCTATCTATCTAGGCCTTGGCAAAGGGCTCGTTTTGTTTAAAATTAACCATAAATTATAGACTCTATGAGGACATTAATATAAGGAAGTTTTTTGAAAATGCCTAGATGAAGAAAATTTTTCTTTGTCGTTTGAAAGTGAAAGTTGCTCAGTCATGTCCAGCTTTTTGCTACCTCATAGACTGTAGCCTGCCAGGCTCCCCTGTCCATGGAATTCTCCAGGCAAGATTACTGGAGTGGATTGATGTTCCCTTCGCTAGGGCATCTTCCCAACCCAGAGGTCAAACCCGGGTCTCCTATGTTGCAGGAGGATTCTTTACCATCTGAGCCACTAGGGGAGTCTTTGCAGTTTGGTTCCAGTGAACTAATAAGCTTCAACATTTTGGGGGCTTTGTAGTGAATGTCATTTAAATATTGTTTTCTCAAGACCTCTCATCCTAACTGGGATATCTCAAATCATGGGGAAAGAAATTTTCTTCAGGATAAGTAAGTATCCAAGGTTGTTCACTAATGAAGTCAGCCGACACTCAGTAATCGTGCTCAGTGGAGGGGCTATATATACACAGAGGAATAAAACTAGCTCTCCTTCCTGGAAGTGGCATACTGGAGGGAACTCAGGTCTGTGAACAAATTCAGGAATGCTCCCTGGGCCCAGAAATTTAGTTTTTAATTAACATATTGAAAAGTCATGTTTTTACAAATGAAAATGAAAAAATATTCCATGTTTTTAGGACATTCTGTTTAGAGTTGAGTGAGCTAGGCCCAGTGATTGAAAGCTGTTAAAAGGTATAATGGACTATTCTGGAGTCTAGGGTCACTGAGGAAATAGTTGAGGTGTGGGGAAGAACTTAATGCCTGGTATAAGAATGGAGGGAGTTTTAGAGCCACCCTGGGTTGAAGCGAGTACCTGGAACTGGTGTGATCATCTGAGGTCTGAGTGAAAAGGAAGATGGATTCATGGTTACACATGCTTTTCCAATGACCTAAGTGGTCTTGAAAATGCAATCTATGGATTCATTCATTTCTTCTAATGCAGCATTCCTGGGTCTTTCCAGTGAAAGTAAAAGTTGCTCAGTCGTGTCTGACTCTGTAATTCCTTGGACTATACAGTCCCTGGAATTCTCTAGGCCGGAATACTGGAGTGGGTAGCCATTCCCTTCTCCAGGGGATCTTCCCAATCCAGGGATCGAACCCAGGTGCACATTCTTTACCAGCTGAACCCCAAGGGAAGCCCTTTCAAAGCTTGGGTGCTAATTAAATAACGGGTTCACTCTGCTTTGCCTGTGTAGGCTGTAGTGGGAAGATGGGAAAGCCAGGGTCCTTAGGGGAATATTTTCACTCCAAGAAAAGGAACTGTTTAGAAAGATACTTGCTAAATGCCTATGACATCATAGGAAGAATTTGGAATAACAATAAATTGCATTAAAAGTAAATAATGGGCCTTTGATAAGTTCCAGGCACTGTTCAAATCTCTTTAAGCACATCGTCTCATCTGGTCTTTTCACTCACCCTATGGGTTTAGTTCTTTATCTACTTTACGGATGAGGAACTGGAACACAGAAACCTTGATAAAATGGACTCACTGTTAATGACTGGTGACACCAGGATTCAAATCCAGTAGCCTGATTTCAGAGTCTGAGTTCTTAGGTCTCAGACAGTTTTGTGAACTTGAGCAAATTGCTCAATCTCTCACGTCTTGTTTCCTCATGTGGGAATAGTCATGATAATTGCAGTGCCAGCTTCGTAGGGTTGTTGTTCCTGTAAGAATCTCACGAAGCGCTGATGCACGCTGGCTTCCCTCTCTGCTGGGCTCAACCCTCTCCGATGATGGCAGAGGCCAGGAAGGTGATCGAGGCCAGCCTCCTCCAGCGCCGCAAGTGCCTTCTCCTAACAGCACTTCCTGTCAGCACAGCATACGTGACCAATAAACAGCAGCTGCTGACTTCATGAAGTTGTCATTTTTATTTCATCTGTATCCTGAAGCTGATACTATCTGCTTAAATCAGCAGGGAACATATATTACATTGTGCTTGAGAATGAAATTTTTTTTCCCCCTCACCTATTTGTCATTGCTTTTTGGGTTGAGTAGACTGTGGTTGGCACACAATTGTCATTTCAGAAGAATGTGCTTTAACATAAAGAGAAAGAAATTCAGAGGTGTTCCAAGTCAGGTTCCAGTATGCATTTACTTTCATTCAAGTTTCTCAAGGCACTGGGAATGTCATCTCAGCTCGGATATGTTTGTAGTTCTTATATCACTTGGAGTTTGAAGCACATTCCCTAAAAGCTTATACATTTAACATTTCTGAACACAATGGATGACTTCATTTTTCCTTGAGACTGTTGTGCACAATCCATATAAGTCTGTACCAGTGTTGGTATCTCAGACATGGTCCTTCAGAGAAACAGAACGAATAGGAAGCATGTATTTTAGGTTGGCCAAAAAGTTCATCTGGGTTTTTTCCATAAGATGTTATGGCCAACCATATGTATATGTATGGGAGTGGGGAGAGGGAGAGAAAGAGAGAGGGAAAAATGGAGGAATTTATTTTAAGGAATTGGCTCATGTGATTGTGGGGACTGGCAAGTTTGAAGCCTATAGGGCAGGCCAACAGGCTGGAAACTCAGGCAGAATTTCTGTGATACAATCTTGAGGCTGAAATCTTTCTTCTTCAGGAAATCTTGCTTTTCTCAAGCTTTCAGTTGATTGGATGAGGTTCATCCACATTGTAGAGGGTAATCTCTTTTGCTTAACTGATTATAAATGTTAATTACATCTATGAAATAGCTTCAAAGCAACATCTAGGCTTGTATTTGACCAAACAGCTGGGTACCATAGACTAGCCAAGTTGACACAGAAGTTAGCTGTCACATTTGGTGCCTGCCTTTGTGTGATAGCATCTTTTACTAGCGCCCGTGCTTTTCCCAGCTCATCCCAGTTCAGGTTAGTGCTAATAGTCTGTGACTCTATCAAGAGTTTAGAAGTTTCCCTTACTTCTTGCCAATGTATTTGAGTAGTACTTCAGTTATCGGAGGACAAGAGGATGAGGAAGTATAGAGAAAGGAGGACAAAACCTTCACTAAGCGACTTGTGCACAGTGAACGTTTGGTTTAGAAAGACCTCCAGAACAGTGCCTGCTGTGGGGTGCTCACAGTCTGGTCCGGGCAGGATAACAGGAATTTGTGAGTTCAGTAAAAGTGTAGCAATATGTGCAGGAGACAGTGGGCTTCCAGAGAAGCCATGAAGAGCCACACCCGAGTGGAGGATGCAGTGCATAGGCTTAAGGGTTAGGAAATGATTCACTCTGAGGTTGAGGCTTGAAGAAGTGCGTTGGTTTGCAAGCTGTCCTTGGGAGAGTCAAGGAGAAGAGGGAAGCAGGAAGAAGATAAGCTGTGAGGCCAGGAGAAAGGAGGCTGGGGCTGTCCAATGGCTTGACCATCTAGCGTGGACAGATAGAAGTCTCAGAGCTGTCAGATTTGCTGAGGCTAGGGTGAGAGGCAAGGGCCCAGTGATGGGTCTCCACTTTGTCCCATCAGAGGTAAAGGTGAGTGTGAGCAGATGTAGTACCAAAGAGCCGGGAAGTGAAGTGTGAGATGCTCAAAGTACCCAGTGGCAAAAGCTGCTCTTAGAAAGCTGGTTAGTGCTAGTCCAAGCGTCATTTTCCTCTGGACACACTCTGATGGTTCCTGCTAGTTAGCAGCGCAGAGAAACCTCAAGTCAGGGAGCAGCTTGTCCTCCTGAGATTTCAGTCCAATCGATTGTTTTTACTCTGGAAATCGACAGCTCTCTGCTGCATGCCCTTGTCTCTGGTTACGTGGGTTGACTGTGGTGAAATGGATTAGGCTGCTTTTATAGCTTCTCGGGGTTTAATCAGGACCCAGCAAGCTCTGCACGTGCCTATGACTTTCCTTTGCCTTTGAGATCTTCAGGCCGTGGGGCTGTTGATGGTGCCACTTCTGTATGCTCCCACCTTGACTGATCAGGTTTTAACTCAGAGCTTATGCTTCTTTGCAGGATGCCACCATTTGGAAGCCCGATTCATGCCAGAACTGCCGTTGCCATGGTGATATCGTTATCTGCAAACCCGCTGTTTGCAGAAACCCTCAGTGTGCCTTTGAGAAGGTATGATGTCCTAATTGTTTTCTAAATGTAAAGCTGGGGAAGAGTAGGATGTTTGCATTTTTTCGGTCATCTGGTTTTGACATTTATCACAACCTCTAATTGCAAAGTTTAGGAAATACAGTTTTAGCATATCATTTCTAAGAAGGTCTTAATTTCTGTGTGTTGGACATTTACTCTGAATCAGGCACTCAAGGTTAAAACTTAAAGGTCTTACAGTGTTACCCCATTTAAAGTGTTATCCCATTTGAAGTTCTGTGGAGTAGATATCTATATCCCCACTTTACAGAAGTGGAAAGAGTAGCCTGGAGATTTTAGGCAGCTTAATATGATTATACAGTTAAGAAGCTGCTGTCCAGAGATCTCCCCTGGATCTGACACTTGCCATAGCTACTGATACTAGCCACACCATTTTACAAGCCACTGAATGCATTGCTAGTCAGGATTGACTTCTCAAAGATGATTTTCTAAAGACATTGTTTATTGTGCAACTGACTGTATCATTGGGCTACCTAGGATCATAGGATGGACTTTAATCAAGAAATCTGCTGGTGTTTAACCAAATGTGTGTGGGATATTTCCTCATTTCCCCTTTATTAAATTGCTTTATTTTTACTTTTTGACTATACATCTATTCTGTTGGAATTTTTTTCCCCCGGGTACGGAATCTCTTCTTTTTAAAGTAAATCTGCTTACAAACAACACAAAATTTTAAAATTTCAAATTTGAACATTGGAAACTCCCTGGAGAAGACCAATTATTTTCTTTAAAAAGCTTTCTGTCAGTTTCACAAGCAAAGTTTATTTTTCTAGAGTTTTCCCTCCCAACCCCATAATAATTATTCTTGAGTCTTTATGTCATCTAATGCTAAGAAAGTTCTGTTTGTTTCTAATATTGGAGTGAAGTTTCTGTGTCCCTTTAATAGTATTCCTAGATTTCTTCTTGGCTATATTTCTGAGAAACTGAGTGTACATTAAATGTTGGTAAATTGGTAGTATTTCTATTTTATGGAGTAAGTACTCCTAAAAGATCTCCATTTTGCTGAGTAACTCATGTCAGAATTTGAGCTGATTTTATATGGACCATGAAGACATGCCCTCCTCCACTTCATGTGAATAAGTATGGCTTCATGGAAGAAGCCTTGAACTGAATGTTGGAAGATATAGATGGTGCTGCTGAAACCTGGATGTGTTCTCTACCAGGGGACAACAGACTAAACCTGGCCCGCCGCCTTTTTTTGTTTTGATCTGTGAGCAAAGAATGGTTTTTACCTTTTTAAATGGTTGGAACAAACCAACTAAACAGTATTTTGTGATGTGAAATTTATATGAAATCAAGCTTCAGTATCCATAAATAAAGTTTTATTGAAACACAGGCACACTCATTTGTTTAAGTATTATCTATAGCCAGCTGCTTTTGTCCTACAATGACAGTTATGTAGTTGGGGTATAGACCTTTTGTGACCCCCAAAGGCTAAAATATATCTGGCTCTTTACAGAAAACATTTCTGACCCTTGTTCTGTACCAAGCATGATTTTGTCCCTTCCTAATTTGCTCATCACGTGAGTTTTTGCAGCAAATGGCAACTCCTTTCTTCCCATTGCTCAGGTCAGAAAATGTAGCATCATCCTCCCCACTTTCTCTTGCATCCCATATCCAGTATGCTAGCAGATTCCCAGCTTTTCCTTCATAAAACAGTATATTTCAGATGCAACTTCTTTGCTTTTACTTTGGTTTTACTTATTGTCATTTTTTGCCTGTATTCTTCCAGTGGCCTCTTCACTTGTTTCACTGTCTTTGTACTGCCCTTTTTCACTGTAATCTTGATCTAGCAGTCAGGGGGGGATCCTATTAAAATTTAAGTCAGATCATGTTGCTTTTCTCCTTAAGTCCTTCCAATAGCTTTCAATGTCTTCTCTTCTCACTTTGGGTAACTCCTCACAGTGTCCTGTAAAGTGCTGCTGCTGTTGTTTGGTCATTAAGTTAAGTCCAAGTCTTTGCGACCCATTGACTGTAGCCTGTCCAGGAGATGTTCCAGGCAAGAATACTGGAGTGGGTTATCACTTCCTTCTCCAGGGAATCTTCCCGACCCAGAGACTGAACCAGAGAAACTGCATTGGCAGTCAGATTCTTTACCACTGAGCCACCAGCAAAGCCAGCTCTCTGATCAATTGATTCCTCTCCCTGCTCTTTCTGCTTCAGACACCAAGCCTGCTCGCTATTCCCTGGATTTGTCCAGGGAATGCTTCTGCCATCAAGGCCTTTGTGCTCTGCTCTTCTCCTTGAAATTCTATCTGGGTCTTCTCAGGTGGCTCAGTGGCAAAGAATCCAACTACAACAAGGGAGACGTGAGTTCGATCCCTGGATCAGGACGATCCCCTGGAGAAGGAAATGGCAACCCACTCCAGTATTCTTACCTGGAGAATTCCATGGACAGAGGAATCTGGTGGGCTGTAGTCAATGGGGTCACAATAGGGTCAAACAAAATTTAGTGACTAAATATCCATCTATCTATCTATCATCTATTTATCTATTTTAATCCTTTACTTTCTCTAAGTCTTGCCTGAATACCATTCTACTTGAAATTGCAGTTCTTCACTCCCTACCACATATTTCCTATTTCTTTTCCATGCTTTATTTTTCTTCTTGGCACTAACTACTGTCTGGACATACTCTATATTTTACTGAAAGTTCTTGTTTGCTGTCTCTTTTATTTGCTGTGTATCTTCAGCACCTACAATTGCACTTGACACATGGTAGACAGTCAATAAATATCTTTTGACTGATTGAATGAATGAATGAGAGATGAAGCTAGAGAGTTGGTAAGTTCAAGGTTATAGAGAGCTTTGTACGCTGTACTGTGGAGCTTGGAATTTAAGTTGGTAGAATACTAATGAAGGTTTTAAGGCATGTGGGTAGGATGGCCCACTTTACTGTTTGAAAAATCTTTCTGGTTTTTCAAAGATAATGCATAATATTGGAGATAAGGAGATCAGTTCAAAGGTTGTGAGAATAATCCAGATGAAAGGGTGAGTACCTGCATCAGAGCAGTAGTGTGGGAGTCAAGAGGAGAGGGCAGGGCCTGCCCTGGTAGTCCAGTGGCTAAGACTTCATACTCCCAGTGCAGGGGGCCTGGGTTTGATCCCTGGTCGGGGAACTAAGATTCCACATGCAGCAACTAAAGACCACGTGTGCTGCAACCAAGACCCAGTGCAGCCAAATAGATAATAAAAAGAGGAAAGGGTAGATTTGATAAGTGTTTAAGGAAGAAATTAGCAGAACTGAATGAAGTAGGAGGGTGAGAGAAAGGAAAAGGAAAGATGACTCTCATATTTATGAGCTGATGACTAATTGGTTAGCAGAGCCACAAACTGATATTGAGAATATAGGAGAATGAAGAAAAGAATCCCATCTGGGAACAAAATGATAATTTCAGTTTGGACACATTGAGTTTGAAGTGTTCATGGAAGAGAAAGGTAGGTATGTCCAAAAGACAGTGGGATATGTGACTATAAAGCTCAGAGGAGAAGCATGTACTATGCTCAGTCATGTCTGACTTTTTGCAGCCCCACGATCTGTAGCCCTCCATGCATGGAATTTTCCAGGCAAGAATACTGGAGCAAGTTGCCATTTCCTACTCCAGGGGATCCTCCTGACCCAGGGACCAAACTCACATCTCCTGGGTCTCTTGCATTGGCAGGTCGATTCTTTACCACTAACACGACCTGGGAAGCCCCGAGTTGGAGATATAATGTGGGTATCAGTAGCAGGAACACAGGAGTGCAAACCTTTAGGATGAGCGAGCTCATCCAAAGAGATTGTGTGAAAAAAGAATAGAAGACCAAAGACAGGATTTGGATAGCACAGTCATTAAAGGGAAGATGAACCTAAGAGAAGAAACTTAGGAAGATTAAGAAGACATGGTCAGAGAGGTAAAGGGTAAGAAATAGTCAGAAGAGAGAAGAATGTTGTGATAGCTAGGAGAATAGAGTGTTTCCAGAAGGAGTTTATATCAACAGTGTTGATCCCACGACAGAGAGTAAGTGTGAGAAAATTTAATATGTTTCATTGAATTTGGCAACCTGTTGGCCACTGGTGCTCCCACTGAAGTTGGTGTCAGTGAAGTGGTGGTTGTGGTTGCTATATTACAGAGGCTTGAGGAGTGGATGGATAGTGGGCCTAGGATGGCCAAGTACAGGCTACTCCTTCAGGGAGCTTCACTGAGGTTGGAAGAGAGAAATGAGACATGAGGTGCATACCACTACATCTGTGACGTTTCTTTGAACCTCCCGTCCCCAGTCATCCAGCCTCCTGGGTGTTGCCATGTGGTTTGTGCTTGTCCTTATTACTGCCCTTGACCAGACTACAAATGCCTGTGCATTTGTTTGCTTCTTTCTCCAGACTCTTAGCTCATTGAGAGCAGCAACCCTCTTCTTTACTATATATAGCCCATCAAACAGCACAGTGCATGGCACATAGAAGATACTTAGTCAATATTTGTAAAATGACCAAACAAGGGAAGAAGAGGGGTGGGTTTTTTTTTGGCTTTTGATATTTCTATGAACTTGATATTACTATGATCACCTTGGGAGGCAAAGGGGAATGACCTTGAAGAGAGAGAGAAATCGAAGATTTGGAGAGTGGGGGAAACAGAATGATAGAACTAGAAAAACCCTTTAAAATGGATTGTGAGACTTTCTCATTTTATAGACAAAAAATTAGACTTTTTCATTCTTTAATCCCTTGCTCAAACGTACAGCACTAGTCAGTGGCACTATGACAAGAGCCTTCATTCCTGGCTCATGAGTTGATGTAGTTTCTACTCCACCGTGTTTTTCCTTGTGTTGCTCAGGTGCACATGTTGGTTTTCACATCTGCTGGGTAGACTTACATTAGTTCATGACACAAGTTAAGGAATCACCGTTGTCAGTCAGTTAGTTCAGTCGCTCAGTCGTGTCTCTTTGCATCCCCATGGACTGCAGCATCCTGGGCTTCCCTGTCTGTCATCAACTCCTGGAGCTTCCTCAAACTCATGTGCATTGAGTTGGTGATGCCATCCAACCATCTCATCCTCTGTCATGCCCTTTTCCTGCCTTCAATCATTCCTAGTGTCAGAGTCTTTTCCAAGGAGTCAGTTCTTCACATCAACTTCAGCATATGTCCTTCCAATGAATATTCACCACTGATTTCCCTTAGGATGGACTGGTTGGATCTCTTTGCTGTCCAAGGGACTCTCAAGAGTCTTCTCCAACATCACAGTTCAAAAGCATCAATTCTTCGGTGCTATTGTACCCTAAACTAAATTATTGTTGTTATTAATAGTACCTTGGATTCCTGTCATTTTTTAAAATATTTAAAAATCTCTTTTGCAATTTATGTTTTGCTCCTTAGTTAATGGGAAATAGCCTAATGTCAATTGTAGTTCTGTTTGATTTTGTGTCTATCTCTCTATCATCTGTCTATTCGTCATATCATTGTGTAATAGATTTGTATTCATATCGTGTATCCATATAGAATAGCTAGCTACAGAGTCAAAGAAAAGGGTCAGAGAGAGACAGACAGATATGAGAAAAATTGAAGGAGTGAGAACAGAGGCTTTTAGAATATTGAGTCTCTAGCCTAGAACCAGCCTTCAGGATTTCTGAAGAACATGTATACAGAGAGGACAGTGCCATGCAAAAGGGTACTGTATTATTAATGCATGGAGGGATTTTTGGCTGCAAACTCCAATGCAGTGTATTTACCTAATCAAGTTGTTGTGATAAATTATATATATACATGTACATATACATATGTATCATATGCTTAGAAGGGTACCTGGCTATTCTAAGTACCCTGTTTTAGCTGTGATTATCCCATCATCATCATCATTATTGTTAGTTTGTTCCTCTAGATCCCAGGCAAGCAATGTTCATTGGTGTCTTGTGTCCAAGTCACCACTTGCTAAGCTCCCAGTGCAAAGCCTGCAGGCCAATAGGCTTATGTGTTCCATGCATCCCACAACTCATGAAGCTATGTGTGGTTACAGAGTAAGGTAGTAAGAACTCCCTGTCTTTTGTTCTGCAAGTCCTACATGCAAAACTCTTCGCTCCTACTTTAGCCCCAAATCACCTCTTTCATGTTCCCACAGAAGGTCAATAGGTCAACACTCAAAATAGGGAACATCTACTCACAAATAAAGGATATTATATTCATAAAATGAGTTTTGGGGGCAAATCTGACGATAGATATATAAATATATAAATCAAATATGATATATAAATCAGATTTATATATATAAATACACACACACACACACATATATATATACATAAATAAATATATAAAGACAACTAATTTTGGGCATAAAATATCCCTTGAGGTCTTTCATTTTGCCTGCCTTTCTCCTTCACTCTTTGCTTCCATATTAGAGTACAGACAGCACTTGGATTATCTCATTTTATATCTGTATGCTCAGTGGGATTTAGGTTAATGTATTTTCTGTACTTACTGTTTCAGTGGACATTAGCTAAGTATAGGTTCTCCTTAGGGTTCAGAGGGCACTTTTGTGAGTAGTCATTAATGTTGCACTCTATATACAATTTTATAAAATTCCACGCCATATGTTTTATCCTTTATTAAGCAAATAAGAAATTGTTGATCACTCTTACTTGTGTATTTATCTGCTTAGTGGATTAACAGTTGTGAAATCATAGTTTTATTCTCCACCCACATTATATACATATTCTAGATGTAGTTATATTTGTAATTGTTGTATGTACAATTAACATTCTCTTGTAGGTACAATTCTTTTTAATGGCCATAGCCCCAAGTAGCAAAGAAACATTAAAACACATGTAATGTTTTGAATCTATCAGCTGAATTCTTTGTAGACTTTTATTCTGTGGACAGGTCATGACTTCCCGGTTAATTCAGGATCTCTTACCACCATTTTTGATCAAAATCACTAATTACCTGTTCTGCCACATTTCTAGACTTGAGGAAATGCTAAGTGGAAGAGCAGGATAAATCCAGGAGTCTAGAAGTCTATTATTTTTTGGGGGGGTCATGCCATGTGGCCTGTGGGATCTTAGTTCCCTGACCACGAATTGAATCCGTGACCTGTGCATTGGAAGCACAAACTCTTAACCACTGGACCTCCAGGAAAGTCCCCAGAGGGCCTAGAAGGATCATTAAGCCCCAAAGATCCACATACGTGCCACAGCTTTAATCATCTTAGATAAACAGATCCTTCACAGTGGCGAATAGATGGTTAGTTAACATGTGACAACTTCCCAGTAAATCTTGGGGTATCACATGATTGTCTATTCTCTTTAAAGCATCACAGTATTGATAAGAAACACAATTGCAGCAGCAGAGGCCTTGATAAACAATGTAGATCTTTATTGGAGCCCAGGAATTCTCCCCGGATACCCGCAGTACATGTGATACCTCCACAGAGAGGCTGTTTCCTCTCCAGCTCTGTCCTCGGTCACCTGCCCCTCGCGCTTTGCTACTCTGTCCCAGGTAAAAGTCAACACTGGAACTTCAGCTCCCCCGCACCCTCTCCTCCCCTCCTCCCCACAACCTGCCTGTTGCCAGCTCCATAAGGCCTCAGTAACATGTTAGAAGACCGGCCAACTCTGTGGCTAACCCCGCCCAAGCCTTCTCCATTACAGGGAAATACAGCTCTTCCATCACCCCCAGCTGCTTTTCTGGCCTGACACTCACATGGAGCATTTCTATATTTCTAGTGAATAAACTCCTTCACTTCATTACATGTGAAAATATGTAGACCATTTTCAAGGAACTCACTTTCACAATGGGACTCATTTTAGCTTTGAGAGAAGCTCATCATGACAGAGAGTCCTTTTTGTTAGTGTATTCTGTTTATCCTTTTTATTGTCACCCGTGAATCCGATGTGACTGTGTTCATTGCTGCTATTTTACACTGAGCTGCTTTTAAATGTTCAGGGAGAAGTGCTTCAAATACCCGCCAACCAATGCTGCCCTGAATGTGTGCCAAGGATGCCTGGATCTTGCCATCATGAAAAGAACATTCACGCGGTAAGTGTTTTCTGACCCATGGTTGATTCCCTGTCTGTAGATCATTGACAAAGGAAAGCTGAATGCTAAACTTGTGTTGACAAGAGAGGATTTTTTTCTCCTTTGTTTGGGCTAGGGAGGACCTCAGGCTTATTTGACTTTCCGCGGGCACTTAGGTTTCTTGGATAAGATTAAAACTGTCCTATTTATTTCAGAGGCCCAGGTAAATATTTGCTGATTGAATTTGTGTCTGTCTAAAGGGTAGTCTGAGAATGTTGATGATGAAGAAGTTGTGATGCTGAATAATAAAAGGCCACCTTGCCTTTGTGTAACATGTACATTTTTTCACTTGATTTTATGAACAACCCTGAGTAGATGACTCCTGCGTTAAAGATGGAAGAGTTGAATTGCAGAGAATGTAAGATACTGGCCCCACATATCACCAATAGGTGGTGTAACTTGGCCCAGAGCCCTGGGCTTCTGACTCCTCATTCAGCGTGGAGTTTGTAAACTTCAGCACTATGCATATGTTAGGCTTTGTGGTGAGGACCATCCTCTGCAGTATAGGATGGTTAGTGGCATCTCCAGCCTCTGTACCCATCACCTGATCGTATCCTCTGCAGTCCTGACAACCAGAACTGTCTGTAGGTGTGGCTGTCTTTCCCCTGGGGAGAGGGGCAAAATGAAAACACCCTCTCCCCTCATTTAGAACCACAGTGCATGCACGCTAAGTTGATTCAATCATGTCTGACTCTGTGCAACCGTATGGACTGTAGCCTGCTAGGCTCCTCTGTCCATAAGATTCTCCAGGGGAGAATGCCCTCCTCCAGGGGATCTTCCTAACTCAGGGATCAAACCCGAGTCTCTTAAGTCTCTTGCATTGACAGGAGGGTTCTTTACCACTGGGGCTACCTGGGAAGCCCATAGCACCACAATACTAGAAATCAACCCTCAAGTTCTTTTATTACACTTTTTCATTCCAGATCCTGCAGGATTAGCTTAGAGATATTAAATACTGATTTTAAAGGAACATTGCAAGGACTAGAATAGAAATTTTGAAAATGGATGGCTACAGTTCATCTCCATTCGTGCTTGCATACTCCCCTGAGGGAGCAGGTGAAGCTGAGTGTGATAGAAAGACACTCTTTGCTTTAATCTTCATCTTCCACCTCATATAAAACTTTCTCCAAGTTAGTTTCTCTACCCTTTCAGCAGAGAACATAGGTTAGCCAGAATTGATATACCCAGTCTCGGCTGCTATTCAGGGTGCATACCTAAAATTCACTGGGGACAGTGCACATTCTCCTGGGACAGGATTACCTCACTTAGCCACTGGCTCAACATCACGTGAGGAAGCCACTCTTCCACGTCAGCACAGTGTGTTGCCGAATGATAGGATGATGTGTGATCTGAATGGTAGGATCTCTGTCTTCATACCATATGTCACCCTGTGCTGCTTGATTTAGGGCTTCCCTGGTAGCTCAGCGGTAAAGAATCTGCTAGTTTTGCAGGAGATGTGGGTTCAATCCATGGGTGGCAAAGATCCCTTGAGGAGGGCATGGAAACCCACTCCGGTGTTCTTGCCTGGAGAATTCCAAGGACAGGAGCCTGGTGGGCTACAGTCCATAAGGTCACAAAGAGTCAGACATGACTGAAGCGACTGAGCTTGCACGCATGATGCTTGATTCAGTCTGTGTTATGTAGGGTGGTGGAAACCATGCTAGAGGACCTCCTGTGAAATGGAAGGTGCTGCAGGGCAGGCTGGTGATGGCATTAATGAATGTTTATAATGATTAGAAAGGTGTATGGATCAAGGTCAACAATCCCAAGCTGAACTTTTCAAGTTAGGTAGCCCTAGGATAACAGATAAGGCCAGGATCTGGAGGAACAACAAACATCTCAAGTAAGAGGGAGTAGCAGGGACTTGGGAAAGCGGAGCTCAGTGACTCTGCATAGCCTCTCTAAGCTTGTCATTGCTTGCTCATCTATGTTCTTGCACTTGTGAGATCTTTTCTTGATTTAAGATTTCTGAGAACTTTGACAATATTTCGTCTACCTTCACAGTGATCTTCCTTATCTCCTACCTAACCTGACTCTTGGCACTGAACCGTTCCCAGAGTAGGTGCTCAATAAACATCAGGACTCAAGCAATGAGTAAATCCTTTCTCCAGCTTATGCATATCTTTGTCCCAAGGGCACATTGGTCTTTGACCACCTGACCTGTTTGGCGGGTGGTTCAGGGACCACAGATCTGCAGATGGGTTAGTTAGAAATCTGCTTGACCTTCTACTTTTTCAAGACGAGTTTTGAAAGTCCTTCTTCTCCCTGCCTCCCTTGCAAATTCACCTCTCTCTTCTAACAGAGCACGTGGAAAACTCTAAACTGGGTAAGACAGCGTGCATGCTTGTTTTCCCATATGCAACTTTCAGAATCTACTCCCCCGGAAAGTGTTATAATTATATTTCTGCAACTTGATGTAACAGAAAAAGGCTGGATTTCAGGAACTGTAGTTTGAAGGAGAAAAACAAATCCCTAGTGGTCTACTTCTCCAAATAGAAATAGAACAGCTTTTTTAAAGTTGAGATAAAATCCTCTACTTTCAGTCTTAATCAATTTAAAATGATCATGTTTCTTGTCTTTCTGTTCTTCTTTCCTCTCTTTCTTCACCTTTTTAGATGCTTGCCAAATCCTTCTTAATGGTATTCATTTCCTTGAGTGGGTTAAACGCTTGTCTGGGTTGGGTCTGAATCTCCCCTTGTCACTTGCATCACTAGGATTGTTCCTGAATCTTGGAGCCTTTTCTGTTTTGCTCCCTTGGCTTGCTTTAGAAAGCAGTTTCCAGAGCACTGCCTCTCCTGTTGAACGTCGGTAATCCTCTCTTTAGCCTCTGGCTTGCATCCCATAGGGCAGGTTATGGAGTCTCTCTCCCCGTAGATATAAAATAGCCTGGTGTTTTGAGAGCTTTGCAGTGGTGAGGTGGAAGCTTTCCCCTGAAAAAGAGATTTAGAAGTGGCTTTAGGGTAGAGTAAGTGTAGCAGGAAGAGAATCTGTTACAGCAATGCCGTCCCCAGAGAACAGAGTTGACGGGAAGGAGAATCAAGACTGGGTTGAGCTCAGAGTGGCACGACAAGGCCACCTTTAATGAAACGACTTCGCCTCATGAGGGAACCTCTTATTCTGGCATCGTGGGCTGGTGTTCCAGCAAGTCCAGACAAGCCCCCACATCTTCCTTGGAGTGAGAAAAACACTTGAGCCTTTTGGCTGACTCCAGGTTATTTAAGGGTTTTGCATGGGCTTATTACAGTCAGCATTTGGGGAGACTATTTCATCCATGACCTCCCAAAGCTATCCTTTCAAATTAGCTTTTGGATCTCTGCCCAGCCTTGCCAACCAGTTCAGGAGACAAGCCTGAAATATGTTTTCCTAAAGAGTGTTGGAATGCTTTTTCCCTGATCTTTCCCCCACAAATTAGCTTGTGAAAGGGAGGAGAAAGGACCTTCACCTCTTTCTTTTCCTCTTTACCAATTTGATCTCAGCACCAGATAATGTCCTGTCTGAGAAGATGGTGCTTGGAGACTGGCTGAAAAAGAAAAGTGGCAGGTGGTAATGCCCCAGTGCCCGCATCTGATTGAGTACAGGAGTGTGGAAGAAGTCTGCTTGCTTTGCCTGGCTGTGAGGCTAAAAGAAGAACTAATTTATGTGTGTGAGGGGAGAGATGAATATTGAATTCTGCAGGCTTGTTTTCGTCAAAGTAGAGGATGTAATTACAATATGCACCAAACATCCCCAGATATTTAGTATTCTGGATCTATAACATCATAACAGGAACAAATTATATAAAGAAAAATTATTTTTTTGTTCTGTCTGTAAGCCAGGCAAATACTTTATGACCGTATCTTTCCTTTGGACTTAAGTCAACAGCCAACCCGACTTGTTATTTGGCTATGCAGAAGAATATATCTCAGATGTTGTCTGCAGAATGTGCTTTTGGCCAGTGTCAAAGTCTCATGTTTCTGAACGGTATTAATGATGTTGGGATGGTACAGCTACAACACAGGTCTTATGGGAGCATCGCTTTATATATGCATTATTTTTTGATTTTACAAAGCTTTCTTTGCTGTTACTGTGCTCATAAAAATTAAAACTTTTGTGGCTATAGAGAACACAGTGAGATTAAAAAAATATGTTTATCTATCATCTATTAATATCTGTCCCCTATCTGTCATCTATCTATCCATCTATCTTTCTATCATCTATCTGCCTGCCTCTCTATTTACCTATGATCCGGCTATCTATCAGCATGTATCAAACTCCTTGGTCTCTGGTCTCCCTCTGGTGAGAGAGGTGTCACTGATTTAGGAATAGGAGTAGGAGATGAAAGTGGAGGTGACTTTTCTCAGAGAGGTGAGAGTAATTCTCCATCATTCTGTTCAGTTTGGATCACTGTCTGGGCTTCTGTGGCTTTGACATCAAGAGTGGAGTCACCCTGATGAATGTTCTTTGTTATTCCCATAATTCTCAAGCTTATTGTGAAGGGAGAATCCGTTGCTTAATTTTACATCTCTTGAGATAGATAATAGATTCACATCATTAGAGAGTTTGAAGGTACCAAAGAGATGAGCTAATACAGCCCTCTCGTCTTACAGTTGAAAACACTTTGGTGATTGACAGGTTGTTATTATAATTAATTTTTGTGGTCTCAGTCTGAGAGGTGGTATGATTGCAAATGTTTGAGAAATGACAGCTAGTGTTTCTCAGTAGTAACAAAAACGAGCTCTTGTTTTAATGTCCGGATGTTTAGAAGCAATCTCTTAACTTTTAGTAGGATAAAGATGTTCACTTCTAATTGCTTTATAAGATGCTTTCAAATTTTACTTATTTAAGATATATAAATGATTCATTAGATATCTTAAACAGTACTTTTGCTCTCTGATGACAAAAGTGAGTATTAGTTTATTGGTAAAAATGTGGAAAAAATATGCAAACAGAAAAAAAAAATCCACTAGTTATCTCTAACTATG